TTCGGAAAAATTCAATTTTAATTGAAATAATTTTTGCGATGAAAACAACATAATAAAAAGCCACATCAACCCATCAAGACTTCAAGAGACGAGATTCCAAAAATGCTCAATAGAAGAGCTTTGAACGAGCTAAGAATCCATTAGAGGAACCAGAAATTCCATACTCTAAATAGTCGGTAAACATCCTAGCCATTGTAGTAGATGAAAACACACTTAGAAGCGCCATCATAGAATAGAAATCCCCTAATATCACATTTTTTTCTACAATAATAATTACTCTATCAAGACAATAGGACCTAACTAAATTTTAAAAACCAAATTTCTTTAATAAAACACATTTTTAAGGTCCTTCGTCTAAACTAATACACCACAAAAAATCTAGAACAAACTAATTGTTAAAGTAAAATAAATTTAGAAGCTTATAATGAAATCCCACCATGGAAAGATCCAACACAATCCATTTTTAATATCATTAAGTCATCCATAGATACTTAATTAAGCGAGGTAAAACTTGCCACAACAAATAGTTTCATAAAAAACGGAGGATTTCAAAAAAGGCAAAAAGATAATAAAACCTTGGTGCATGCATTCTACGGTAGGAAATCGGTAAATAGCACCCCTAATTTCACCACACATAAAATCTAAATACATAAGCAAACAAATTTGATAGAATCATTCACGAATATACTTGCTAAACGAATATAAATTTCTGTTTCATAAACAAATAGATTCATAAGAAAAATAAACCATATGACAATGCCAATCGGACACATCGATATCAAGGAAATGGATAATACAAAATCGGTAAGGTTTTTAAGTCACCAATTAAACAAAATCAACAAGCTTTAATGTTTGCTTGTTACTACAACTACTTTGTTCCTTGGAGTAGCTTGAATACCTAAACAAACTAAAAAATTTTTTGATCATAAAAACTTAAATAACAAGTATACGTACTTTTGCATCACATAACCATCAACATATTCCAACTACGAACATAATCAAAAGTAAAAACTTATGCACATCACTCAAAAAACCAAAATACCATCCACCCATCAAACATGCATAGTAATGGCAATGGCAATTGCTAAATCTGAAAAATATAGGATAAAAAATTAACATTTTAACATTATTATAAAGGAAAAAATAACAAGTGAAAAGATAGATTTGTATTTTCTCAACATTTAGTAATTTTTCTTCAACAATAATTGATGTAGATGCATTTTTAAGCCAATCTTTAACTCATGTGATAGATTCCATTAAGTTAAGAGTTAAAGAATTCCTAAAGGCATCAAGAATAAAGGCATCAATAACTCTTTTTCCAATGCTAAATGATGATTATAAGGAAACAATAGAAACAAAAACTACCAATAAATAACGAGCCATTTGTGAAAAGATGAGAAATCAAGAAGAATTGTTTTTCTACCACTCTAAAATATTAAAACTAGCACTAATATTTTCAACACCTTCACCAAGATATTTATCCAATTTCGTTTTATTTCCTTTATCTTCAATATCACATTTGTACTTTTTAAAATTCATTATTATCTCTAATTTTACTCTACTTTCTCCTTGATCAATTATTTTTTCATTTACACAATTCATATTTATTCTTCCATCACTTTAGCTAATTTGATCTTGAGGTGTTGATAAATGATAATAGAAATCATGCATGGCATATATAGGTTCTTTCATAATATTTGTCATATTTTGACCCTCTAAATCACCATACAATTCCTTGATTGAAATTTCAATAAATATAAGTTTATGCCTAGGATCAAGTATCATCACAATATAAATTAACTTGTTTATTTTCTTAATATCCTCCAAATACTTCTTAAACTTTTCTTTTCTTTTACTAGCCAATGAAAAATTATCAAAATCCCCTATTTGTTGCCATTTTTTCGGACGATGTTCGAGCATATAAATCTCTTCAAAATAAATATTCGAAGTCACATATGAAGAATCCGAAATAAGCAAAGTAAGGTCGTAAAAATTTTTTTAACATGCTTACCATTTTCTTACAAGTTTTTCAGTCATCAACATTAGGTGATCCAACAACATTATCACCATAATCTACATCAAATTCACTACTATATAAAGGATCAATTTGCTCATATTTCTTAAAAGCTCTCTCAAACTTTAGAGTTGACTCTAACATCAAATATATTGAATTCCACCTATTTGCGACATCTAGTTGTAACAAATTTTTAAAATCAATCTTCTCAAGTTAAATGTATTGCTTAAATCTTTTCAACCTAGCTAAAGATTATCTCACAAACCTAACGGCCAATCGAATACGAATGGCCAAAGGATTAAAATGTTTCAATCCATTAACAATAACTAGATTTAAAGTATGTGCTATATACCTTATATGAATGAATTCTCCATTAAGATGCAATGACTTAATTCTTAATAACATCTTTTAAGCGTCTAATTATCACATCATTCGAACTTGTATTTAACTTATATTCTCAAGTTAAATGCATTTTTTAAATCTTTTCAACATAGCTGGAGATTGCCTCACAAACCTAACAATTGATCAAATACGAATGACCGAAGGATTAAAATATTTCAATCCATTAACAACAACTAGATTTAAAGTATGTGCCATACACTTTATATGAACAAATTCTCCATTTAAAATGCTATGCCCAATTCTTAATAACATCTTTTAAGCATCTAATTGCCACATCATTCGAACTTCTTTGTCAATCGTAACAGTAAAAAGTTTCTCAATTCCCTAAACAATCAAGAACTTCTCAATGGCAATGCTTAAATCTATTTCTTTATGACTATCAACCGGATAAAAATTCAAGATCTTTTTATACAACTTTCAATAATGATCAATAAAATACGTCGTAAAACATATGTAATTGATTCTTTGAATAAATGTCCATATGTTCGTAATGAGATAAATTATTTCACTATTTTGTTTCAAAAATTACTTCAACTATATTTTCTTATCTAAATAAAGTTGACAACGAATCTCTTAAAATCGTAAAACATGATGAAAGTTTGAATCTAGGTTGCATATTAGATAAAAAAATTTCGAATCTCTTGCCCTCTATAAACTTAAATAGAAGTTCATCTACAATGATCATTTTAGCTAAGTCTTTTCTAATAATATTTTGATCAAATTTCCATATGCCGAGAGTGTTTTCTCTTCCTGTAAGCCTTCTAAGTTCTTATTGAGTTTGTGTATAGTCAATAGAATCATAAGAGTTTTTTTAACAAGTTAAAATATGAGAATTAAGTGAGGTTATCTTATTTTTTAGAGGATTACAAACAAATATCTTATCATGATAGTTGCATTTAGCCTTCATGTTTTTATTTTCATCTTCAAACTTTGTAAAATGGTCTCACACCATTGATCTTGGCTTTATTCTTTCCTCTTCTTTCTTCTGCCATCTTCTTAAGTGTTACTTAAAGCTACACTTGATCGCGGATTGTTTAAAGCCATATTTTCATAATTCATTTATTCGGATTGCAACATCCGCATAAATAACGAAGGATAAATAGTATTAAGCTTCACACTCTTTAGGCTAAAAAAATTAATATATCCTGGTTTAGCAATTCCAGTAATCGTAAAGCGTACACGAACTACACACATTTTCAAGTCGTTCATCTAAACTAGTTCACCACCTAAAATCTAAAACAAACCGATTTCACGAGACAACAAAATTGGCAACCATAATGGCATAAACAACTTATTCCATATTAAATAGAAACGAGTTCAAATTGAAAGATTCTTAGTTTTTTTTATTACTATTGCCTTTGCCCTAAGCATTCGCAAATGAAAGAAGTAGTGATAAAAAGATGCCTTTTCCTCTTTAATTTCAACGAGGGAAGATTGAATTTGAAAGAAACGAAAAAAAACTTCACTTTGTTTGGTATTTTTAAGTAGATAAAAACCTCTCTATAAAAGAAAAAAGAATAAATTGATGGCTATAAAAGCCACAATGTATATGGGCAACCATAGGCTCCAGTTTCCACATATATAACAAAAGAAAAAAAATGTTATAATATAATTCATATTATAAATCAAAAATTCATAGCTTCACACATGTTACAGGATAATTTTTTCAATTTAAGAAGCCTCGCTTAGCAAAGGGGAGAACTTTATCAACTCTCAACACCACGAATAAGAAATTCCCCAAAACAATTCTCTTTGCTAGTTATGAAGTGTCCATTTGCAAGAAGATTATTTTGTTTTGCATCACAAAAAAGGAAAAAAGAAAAAAAATCCATGAAACATTCAATCCAAATCACATGGGTATCTAAATGAAAAAAAAAGGAGTAAAAGAGACTCACATTAGGAGAGCTCGCGAGTAGAGGAAAAGACGAAGAGTAAGAGGAGGAGGGTGTTTAGTAGTGACCGATGACCGATAACCGTAAGATCGGAGGAAGATGACGAGAGAGGTGGGTGGTGACCGATGAGATTGAAAAAGGAGGACAAAGAGGTAGGTTGTGACTAACTCGGTGAGATCGGAGAAAGAGGACAAAAAAATGGGTGGCGACCGATTGACTAGTGAGAACTCGGTGATTTAGTGGTTGTCGTGTTGCGGTCTTACCGAAGTAGAAGACCTAATGAAGGAGAACTGGAGAAGAAGGAATGAAGGATAGGGAGCCAAAGAAGCTAGTTAGGGAGTTAGGAACTTTTTTTTACTTATCTTTTCAGTGGAAACCAACTTTTTTTCAAAAATCAAACCAAATTAAAATAATTTTAGTATTTCGATTCAGTTTTTTATTTTACAAATTTAAGTTTAAAAACTAAAATAAAATATATAATTCGATTTGGTTGGATTCGATTTTTCGAGTAACCCGATCTTTTGCTCACCTTAGTTTAAAGTTCAACCTTCCTATCTACTTCAGGCATCCCTTAAATCGCCTTATAAAATGCTGAAATTTTCATTCCAACAAATGGCAGGGCTATTATTATTTGTTTATCGGTCAGGTAGAATGCTAATTGTTGAGTAATGAAACGGACGCTTAAAAAAAAAATGCAAATGGACCCACAAACCATCTATTTAAGGTATAAGAAAGGAAAAAAAGAAGAAAAAGGCAAATAACTTTTTGTCCCTGTGCTCGTGGCAAATGGTTGTCTTAACCCCAGTGTTCCAAACTCGGAGGACTGATGCAAAAAAATTCATAAAACGTTGGTCAAAGGTCAATAATATAAACCACTGGGAAATGACTAAACTGCACCTATTAAAATATAATTTTTTTTAATTGAACTCTTTGGAAAAACTACCCCTTTTACGTATTAGTATTGTATACTATCAATTCAACATCATTGCGACCACCATATCATTCTAGTAGCGGTTAGGCAACAAAACACAATTTCGCAATAAAAAAAACGACCCAGTGTTGAGGCTGCTAGAACTTTTTAGAAACATATTATTTTATTTCCTATATTTTTAAGAAATTTAATTCAGTATCTTTTTTACTATTTGGCGTCAATCGAACAATATGAAAAACAGGGAGTAAGACGAATATTTGCAACAACTAGAAGGGTAAAAGTAGTTATTTTTGCCAAAGTGAAAATTGAAAGACCCACAGCCACCCATAGGCCGTAGCCGCATATACTTTACATTTGCAGCAAGCCGTTTGGCTTTCGGCCGGAAATTGACCCGCATTTCTCGAAATAAGCCCACCATCCTGTCGCCACCCACTTTCTAATTTCCAACAGATCTCCGACTCCCTCTTCCTTGTCTAAACCTCAGACAAAAAAAGAAAAAAAAACACACTGAAAGGATTTCAATATCGAAACAACTAGAGCTTCTTCTTCTCGTGCAACAATCATTTAATTATGTCTATGCCTGAATCATGCGTGATTCTGATTGTGATCGTGCTTTTGCTAATTAGCTCTAAAGAAGCGGCGTCATTTCACTCGGGATCGCGTTCGATCCTCCGAGCTGTGAGCGGCGAAAAAAAGCGGAGGTTGATTACGCCGTCGATTTGAACAGCACGAATTTCGAGGCTGTTCTTCGTGACACTCCCGCTACTCACGCCATCGTCGAGTTCTTTGCCCACTGGTCAGTTGCTTTTCATCCCGAACCACCTAGCTGTTACATTCTTTTATTTATTTATTAAAAAAAGCGGTTTAATTGTCTAAAGTTTTAGTTTTGAATGGGAATTAGTTATCATTTTATGCATTAATCATCAAAGCAGTGATTTTCAGCAGAGAACTATAGATGGATTTTCGGCTTTGGTTTTTTAGACGGATAATTTACAACCGAATTGTGATCAGCTTCTAGAGAGTATTGCAAAGATTTTTTTCTCCCAAAAAGCAAGCTCTTTCTTTGTTTACTAATATCTTAGGAGCAATATGTTCATTAGTTTGATCATATCATGAGATTCCATCATTTACTGTGTTATTAGTCTTTCAAGAAAATAGAAAGATAGTTATAGCAGAAAAAAGATTGCTACTTTAAGGTCTTGGTTCTGTCTTTATTTTGATTATGTCTTCTGCAGTGTTTTTCCGGAAAAAGTCGATACTTTTTCAGTTTTTGCAAAATTCTGTGTATGTATCTGCAAAATTTTCACTGACTTCTGCCAAAAAATAACTGCATCATGTAATTTGGGGAGCATCGTTACTGAATTCATTGATACAGTCACTGAATGATGTCCAATAACATACGGTGACTGTATTATCAAATTTGTTAGGCATGCATTAAGTTTTTGCAGAATTCAGGGATGGTTTTGCAAAAAACACACTGAATTCTGCAAAAATCGTAACGTCTTCCCTTTTTGGAACTTTTTCCTGAGGATTAGTTGTGCTCATTTGTGGTTCAGAAATTGAAATCATTATTTTTCAATCTCGTGGTTGGACAAGCACTTGAACCTTAGTGGAGTTATATTCTCAGTATAACAAAATTAAAAATTGCTGCATAATGGGTCTGTGTCTATTAAGTTGTTGTGTGTGACATGTCCCCATTCAAATGTGGCACTTGCAATCATGTCCATGGATTCTATGTTGATTCTTTTCCACCCTTTGCTTGGCTAGTACTTTATTTGATATGATGTACATAAGTTTGAAATTTTGATCATTTCATGGGCCAATTAAACATTTAAAGATTGTAATTGTTTGAACTATACGATCAATAATTTGTTAAGCTAAGTAATTTCTGCATAGATTTGAGATTTTGTGCGTTGATACCATTCTTTTATATATATGTATCATGCATCTGCTCGCCAAGCTATCGCTTGGTCTTTTCTATGTTGTCTACTACCAGATGTCAGGCATCTACTCGCCAAGTTATTGCTTGGTCTATTCTATGTTGTCTACTACCAGATGTGGTGTTTAATCAAAATCAGGTTAATCTGTCTGTATGCGCAACAATTAATTGAATATCTATTTACTCAACCAAGGAAAAATTCTTAAATTGTCAAGTTATAAAAGATTGTGCCTCCATATTCTCATGCAAGTTATTTTTTGAATCGTGCCTTGTAAATTGCAAAAACCTTTCTCCCTAAATGGAAAGAACACATATCTGCATGTTTGTATGAAATGATGGTTATTATGTTTTCTATACGATTGAACTGTTGCTCATGTCTTCATTTGTAACAATATCAGCAAGTTATATGACTTTGTTTCTTCTCTGTGCAATTACTGTCTTTTTCAGGTGCCCTGCTTGCAGAAATTATAAGGTATTGTATGATACATTTTTTGCATTAGCATTTATTGTCTTATTTTCTTATTTCTGGAGCTTCAAATATGCAGCCCCATTATGAAAAGGTTGCGAGGCTTTTCAATGGGCCTGATGCTGTGCATCCTGGTATTGTATTGATGACAAGGGTGGATTGTGCTATGAAGGTATATATACTTTCTTCTTGATTTCTCTTTATACATGCTGTGGTTTTATTTACTCCTTTCAAATAATTTTGCAATGTACAGACAGTTGTTTCCATAAACACTTAAATTGGGCATTCTTTGGAAACTTTTACATCTCCACTGATTTAAAGGAGAAAAGGTTGAAAGGCTATATGTGTATTTTATTGTATGGAATAATTATGAGGAGTGTCATTTGTTACAGCACATCTGGATATTGTATTTCAAGGCAATATTTTTTCCAATTTTTGTTTCTTGTCTTTGGGATGTCGTATATCCTTTGCCTTACCTTCCTTTGCCATAACTTTGGAAGACCCTTTCACGAAGCGTCTTTTGAAACTCTATTTTTTGTCTAATTGCCAAATATATGCTCATTTTGCTTTTTTTTTTTGAAAGCTTTTATTGCAAGTCAATTATAGAATTGCTCTTTGTTGTGAATTGCATTTCTTTGAAGACAGAAGCCATTTGCAGTTTTATGGAATATTTAAAGGTGATGAAAGGATGAAGTTTATAAGAACCATGGTTTGATAAAATATTGTTTCCAACCATTTCAAATCATAGGTGAATTGGACAAAGGGTTGTAGTTATTCATATTAGCGCAAATGTTTTCTGACCTCATCACACTGTTGGTTTAGCTTTCTCCTATTAGCGACTCTGTAAAGTTTCATTCTCATAGCTCTATTGAAGTCTCAATTGATATACATTGGTTCCTTGGTGATTAGTCCCTCTTTAACTTGTTTGGCAGCACAGATAAATAATAAACTCTGTGATAAATTTTCTGTGAGTCATTATCCTATGTTATTCTGGGGCCTGCCGTCTAAATTTGCATCTGGTGGTTGGGAACCTAAAGAAGAGAAGAATGAAATACGCATGATTGATGATGGACGGACAGCTGAGCGGTTGCTTAATTGGATCAATAAGCAGTTGGGCAGGTATGAGATATTCTTAACATCACTTGTTTAAGTGAAATCTTCATATTGTGATTTACGTACCTTGTCCTCAAATGTGTCTGTGATGTTAAAATTTATCAACAGCGTGCCCATGAAACAGAGAGTCGTGTATCAAATTTCTCTAAAAGTCAGAAAAAATCAGATATTTTTTTTTCTGATAGTTGTATGTTCTGTTTATTCCCTTTAATCAGTTGATTTATTTATTTTTTCTTTGTGGTATTGCTAGTAGGAAAATATTTGTACTTCATATTTTTATTGCTTTCATGTTAGTGACACATGCACATGGTAAATTATTTTGTAACTTTTGTGATATGAGTGCTTAACTACTGTTTATGGTTAATGGGTCATGATCTTGACTATAGTTATCAGAAGATGCTGTATGTGCTAGATTCACCTCTAGCTTGTGCCTTGTACTTATTATTTTGGATTTGGAGAAATGGGCTGTTTCAGTGCATTGAGATATATATATATATATATTTTTTTGGTTTTAATGAAATCTTTGCAAATGTATGTTTTATTGTTTCTGTAATACTGGATGTTGGTTTCAGTCCTTTGCCCTGTTATAACCTTTCATGATTGTATGCAGCTCATATGGCTTGGATGACAGGAAATTTGAAAACGAGCATCTTCCTTCAAACATATCCGACCCTGGACAGGTTTCTGTTTGCTCAGTTCAGATTTGCTTCATTGTTTTAATATGAATTCTTTCTTTAATTTAAGATATTAACTTCTATGTTGCACGACTTGTGAAAGATTGCACGTGCTGTGTATGACGTTGAGGAGGCTACAGCCATTGCCTTTGAAATCATACTCGAACACAAGGTAGACAATTTTCCCTCTGGTTATGTTTTCTGTGGGTTCATGCCCATTTGCATTGTCTCCTTTTCTTCTTTCTCCACAGATGATCAAACCACACACTCGGGCCTCGCTTATTAAATTCCTTCAACTTTTTGTGGCCCACCATCCTTCAAAGAGGTAAAGACCATCCTTTTGGAATGAAACTTTCCATACCCAATCCAGTAATTACTTCAACATTGATCTACTCTAGATTATTTATATTAGGTGCCGAAAGGGAATTGCAGAAGTGCTTGTGAACTTTGATGACCTGTGCCCACTGGATATATGGTCACCTGACAAACATGAAGTTGTCAGTAATGGCAAGGATATGCTGGGGAATTTCCAGATTTGTGGGAAAGAAATTCCTCGAGGATATTGGGTAGGTGTTCTTCTCTCTTTAAGGATAGTAATGTTCGCTAATTTATGTTGATAATATCAAGGCTTAGCCCACCCTAGCCAATTTAGGATGGAACTGTAGTGTTGTTGAATTGAACTATTTAGGCATGTTTTGACATAAACTGACAGTGGTTAGCATGTATATAGTTTTGATGCCCCTCTTTTTGATCGTCACCCTTGTACTTGTATCTTCTACAAATCAACTCAAAATTTTGTCATTTTGGGGGAACCTTATATGATGTTACCTGAGCTGGTTAGTTGAAGAAGTAAAAGTATATATAGTGGCATTTGAATGCATAATTTCAATGAGGGTTCTTTGTGCATTATCCTTAAATCTATCATCTAATGATTGCACATGAGCCATTTTTTAAACGGTATAATGTCAGTCAGTTTCTGTGAGATATACAACAATTATTGATCTATGGCATGCTGTATTCGAATATCATCATTTTTCAAATTGTTCTGTGTGCCATTCTTGAAATGGTAGCGTGTCAGTTAATTTCTGTGAGACAATTGACCATTATTGAACTATTACTTGCTCTGTTAAATTATCATCATTTTAAAATTATTTTGTGTAGTTAGTGCTTCATTTGGGCAGTTGTTTTTTTCCCTCTAGCCATGGCTTTGAATAACTTAGACTTGGTGGAACATAGTATCATTCTATTCAATGCTTTCAATATTGAAGACAGCATCTTAACATTTCTAAGCCTTTGAGTAATTTCAGTGTTTGCAAAGCACCCAATCATCCATATGATAAGAGCGAGCTAAGTTTTTGGATTTTCAAAACATCCATTCTAATGCAGCTTCCATCATATAATTTTGTGTGCTTGTAATTTTTTATTTTAGACTTTTTTTTTTTTTTTTTTGAGAAACTGAAAATTTGTTTGTGAGATCAAACAACGATGTATGGTTAATTCTTGTGAAAATGATATTTGTTACTGCCCTTCTTTCCCATGGCACCTTTGCTATTACTAGTTTGTGCCATGTGTTGAACTATGGCTTGCGTCTTGTTATTTCACAAATTGCTAGATTAATATCCTATTTTAAAATGGCTTTGTGTGTTCTTTCTCAGATGTTTTGCCGTGGCAGCAAGAATGATACCAGGGGATTCAGGTAACATGCTATTTTCCTTCTTTCCAATTATTAATGTGACCATTACTTTGCTCAATATGTTTTTAAGTTTTGCTATATCAATTTACCCAGTTATTGTTGTGCTTGACACAGCGACTTCATGTTTAATAGTGCTGCATTACTTGATATGGCAAGGTGCATCCAACCTAAGCCTAACCTAGTCTTTTGTTAGTCTTGTATCTGTTCCCATTGGAGCACTCCTTGTATTGAGTTCTTCAGTTTGCTTGGAAAGCTTTGTATGGTTAATAATTGTGAACTCATATATAGTCATGTTCTGAGGCCCATCATCTCCATTGTACCATCACTTGGTATGGCTGAATTTTAGGACTGATCCTCTGATTCAGTTTTTTTGAACATTTTCCAAGCGCTTAGGCCAAAAAAATGCAGATTGTTTGTGATAGCGTGTAATGTACTGTTAGGCTAAAAAAATGCACATTGTTAGTGATAGCATGTGATGTACTGTTACTGGCGTCCAGAAAAGCACCAAATTTGCCTGCAGATGCAAGAATCATTTTCTTCTGCTGATAAGCAGTAATTCACTTGCTCTCCTCAATGGCAAATTTAATGTGCATGTCAGTTTAATTTTTTGGATTGAGAAAGAAAGAATAATTTGCTTTTACTTGTTGTGTGCCATTGTACATGCGTATGGGTGCACATTCTTATACCCGCTGCATGAAGTTTATCTTTTCTCTTATTAAGAAAAAGGCTTCCCTATTACACAGCAGTATCAAACTTGGTATTTTCAGTAGTGTTTTCTCATACCATGAAAATCAAACCCCTTTCTTTTGGAACAACTATAACCCTTATAGAATTCCTCTACAGTTGAATTGTTTAACCAATTATCTTTCTTGAATCATCTGTTTGTTTCTTCATTTGCAGCTGTGGTTTATGGGTTCTGCTGCATTCACTCTCTGTGAGGATTGAGGATGGAGAGAGCCAGTTTGCATTCACAGCTGTATGTGATTTTATCCACAACTTCTTCATTTGCGAGGAGTGTCGTCAACATTTTTATCAAATGTGTTCAAGGTAAAAGCAACTCAATAAGTTAGTTTTAGGCACTCAAGCTCCCTCCAACTTATATAGGCTGTTCCAATTTGCAGTGTCACTGCCCCTTTCAACACATCCCGTGACTTTGCCCTTTGGTTGTGGAGTACTCATAATAAAGTCAACGAGAGATTAATGAAGGAAGAAGCTTCTTTAGGAACTGGTGATCCCAAGTTCCCAAAGGTTATTTGGCCTCCAAAACAGCTCTGCTCGTCATGTTATACCTCTCATAACCGGAGAGAAAATGGAATTAGTCAAATAGATTGGGATTTGAATGAAGTATACAAGTTCTTGACTGGTTATTATGGCAAAACACTTGCATCTTTGTACAAGGAGAAGGATCGCCTTGGGGATGAAGTGACCGATGGGGCCATTGTAGATTTAGTGGCCTCAACAAATGCACTTGTGGTGCCTGTGGGGGCTGCATTGGCGATCGCTCTTGCTAGCTGTGCATTTGGAGCGCTTGCTTGCTACTGGCGTTCACAGCAAAAAAACCGAAAGTATTGCCACCAACTACACTCTTTAAAGAACATTTGATATTAACGAGGATGATGAGCTTTTTCAAATTTGATAAAATTATATATATATATTAACTAAAACAATTGACAGGAGAGCTAGAAGTTCAAAAGTTGAAGGTGAATTTTCTTATTTGTTTTCCTTCCCCAATATTTCAGGCCAAGGAGAAGCTGGAACTAAGATAGTTAAAAGGACAAAACCATACACAGTCATTAAGGTGCCCAGTCGGGTTCTATCAGGCTCTGAATAGGAATCCAGATTACTATCTTACTGGCCTGCTTTGAGGTCCTACTCTGTACCCTTTTTTGAAAGTTTCCCTCTGAGCACCCTTTTGGATTGTACAGATTAATACAATAATTTCATTTTTAGGAGAGGTCATTATCTCTTTTCTTTTTCTTTCTTCTTATCTCACTTTTGAAAACTGCAATGATCCACGGCATAGGATGGATCTTATTGAGAGAGAATCGATGCTCTGCAGTTTTACGAGGGTATGACTGTTCCCTTGTATACGCTGGATTTTACCCTTGGCATGAAAGATTAGTTCAGTGTCTAAGTTTTTTGAAAACAAGTACAGCATCTTGGTTCAGTATTTGTGTGCGTTTGATGGTGTGAAAACTTCTTTATCATACTTTTTTCTTTTCCTGTCAATGATGTGGAAAACTTTCGTACAGGAAATTTATTTATTTATTTTTTGTGTGTTTCAAGTGGATAAGAGCCCTTCCATCTTTAGGACGTGGTAGATAATGCTCTTTTACATTAGTCCTAGCATTTCAACTCTGCATTTAGTTGGAAAGCCCATCAATTACACAATAATATGGAAACAAAATCTTGTACTTGTAGAAAAACATGAGATTGTTATTACAGTAAAAAAAAAAAAAACAGGTATTTTAATTAAAAAAATTTATAACTAGTGGTGGATGTAGTAACTTTTATCTTATGTATTATTTGTTTAATCGATTGGGCTTTACAACTTAAAATAATGCTGAGTTGTAAAACCCTTGATTTACATCTAAATCTTTCTGTTGACAATTTAGCTGATTGACAACTTTGTGGATCAAGTAATGCGGTGTTATAACAGGAGATTAGATATCAAATTCTAGTAGCTAGGGATGGAAAGAGAAGACTTAGCACTCGTTATGCGAGCAAAAAATAAAAGCTTTTAAAAGGGAAAGAGGAAACAAAAAAAAAAACAGAGAAACAGAATAGACTATAGTTTTGATTTGGAGCGGCAGTGTAAGACATAAAAATCTTATGGAGAAAAAAAAAGACATGAAAATCTTCACTGAAACATTTGGTCCGCCATAATCGCCATTCACCACTTCACCACTCAGGCTCCCTGTTACTGTGATTATTTCAGGCAAGCAACGGATAGTGCAAGGATATAAGTTCTTGGTTCGCTTGCTCCTTATATAGGAGGTCGGAAAACACCACACAGGATGGTGATATGGGGGTTTGTGCCAGTGATATAGGGCTTCTCATCTTACAAAATCAGCATGATTTTAGTGAATATATTTATCCCTTGCATAATCCAGATCATAACCAACTGTAGAAGTTCTTTGCTGAAAGGCTTGCTGTAAAAAAATGGGTACTGTCCACAATTCGGACTGCTAGCATTTGGGAGACAAGGTCCATGCAGAAAAATGGAATTTGGTTTTCCCTCTTACTGATGGGATATCAATCTAGAGATAACGCAAGCAAACTGGATGAAAATAACAGAAATTGGAATTGATATTTAAGTAGAAGTGTTATGTCAGCTTCTGTTTTTTCATTGATTTGTATGGACTAAACTACAACTAGAAGGCCAAATCTTTACTTGGGCCTTCATACATGAGCAAGTATATTTTCATTGTTGATAATTTGACTTGTAGTTTCTTCATATAAATGTTTGTCTATACAGTGGAACTTTTTTTTTACTATACAAAGTATTGATGAGGGAGCAGCAAAGGAAATGCATATCTAAGACTTTAAATCACAATTGTCTTCCAGGGAACTGTTGTTTGTTTATCTCACTGACAACAAAGAAGATATTATGTTCTTTAAGAAACCAGAACCCGTTGAACTTTGCCCAGTGAGGAAGTCACCTTGGAAGCTTGATTTTTCTTTCTTTTTTTCACAGTTGGCAATGAAACTACCTCCATCTACCTTGAAACAAAATAGTAACCTGAAGATTGGCAGATTCTAATGAACATTTATTATATGTGGCCGAGGCTGCAGGGCTGAATGCTCAGCATCTTCATTGTATGAATGAAGTGATGAATTTGGAGGCTCCTATAATCAGCAATGAAAAACAAAAAACAGGCAAAGCAAACTTGATGAGAATTGAGTAGATAGTCAGCTCAACATCTTATCGGACCTGTAGAAAAGAAGCAAGAGGTCGTATACTGTACCATAACTCACCTGATGGAGGCGGCGACGCTGGAGAGCAGTTACTGTCTTCAAAATGACATAGATTGGAAGAATAATCCCAGCAGTTCGCAGAAATAAAAACTGTCAAACAAAGGAAGAAAGTGTGAGCCTATGATTTGCACACATGATTTTCATCAATGTCTTTTTGAAGTAGCAATCCAAATTGTTTTACCATAAACACTGGGAATGAGATATTGTTGGTTCCATTGAGAATGAGGGGAAGAGTGTGCCTTAGAATTAAAAGAACCATGAACTGCAAAAGAACAAGTAGAGCAATGAGATTGTAGAAGGGATTGTGCTATGATGCAGCAAGGTTTCTTTTTATTTTTTAAGAAAGAAATTATTAAAACATGGTCTTTAAAATAGAAACATGAACTTCTGCAAAATGAATGTCCATAACATGTTCGTTGTATCTTTCATGTGTCAAGTTTCACCTAGAAAATCTCCTCAAATATTTTATTCAAAAAAAAAAAAAAAAAACAGAGGAGTGACTTACAACTACAGCGATCAAGCGGCAGTAGATGGCATTTCTTGTAGTTGAAGCTGAATACTCATCATAGTCAGAATTCAGGAAGTTACGTTCAGTTGAGACCATTGCTATGAAGCGAGGACCATTTAACTCCCTTCTAGAAGTCTCCCAATTTCCCCTGATAAAAATGTTGGAGCACATTAGTGAAGTGCTAGTGAAATGGAAATACAATTAAGACAAAAGTTAAATGAAAACCAAGAAGTACACAAAATTACCTGAAGTTCATTGGAAACCCAATTTGGAACAGGGGTGGTGGTGCTGTATAACCAGGCTTGAACTCCTGAAATCAATCCAATTTATGATTCAATTTGTTGATGACAAAGACTAGAACGTCACGTCAACTAAAAAGATTCCCCAGAACCAAAGAATAGTAACTAGATGGAAGCTAAATATGAAAGAACGAAACACACCTGGTGGCATATCTCACATATAGTGTTACCCTTCTCATTACACCACCTCTGTACACACCTGCGATGAGCATACTGCAAAAATGAAGAATCAGACACGAGTTTTGTCGGACATGGCAAGCTACAAATGATCACTATTAAAGTCTAAGTCAAGTGACTTTAAAAAGGACATGTGTTAAACTGAAACAGTTGGCTAAATTCATCTAGGAGACCAATGCATTATCTATATGATATTCTGATAATGCAAGTTGGTTTAATAAAAAGACAAACATCAACTCAACTTTTTATATTTAATATACTGATCCTTGTTTACTGGAAACAAGAAAACACCTTCAGGTTTTCTTAACTGCTAAACATTAAAAGAAAAAAAATAGCAATGCGACTGCATAACGGGTGAGCAAGGAATATGATCAAATTACTAAAATCAACACCTTCTAGACTACACCAACAAACAAGTCCCTGGGGGTAGATTATTTATGTATACTTTTCAACTTTAAACAAGAACACTCAGGTCAGCTGACCCAAGTTAGGCACATCTCAGTATGTTATTCAACGCCAAACAAGAAGCTCAGATCAGCCAACCCAACTTAAGAATTTTCTTCCTCATTTATCAACATTGATGCTTGACTGCCTCAGCTATAAGCTATGTACCAAACTTTCCATCTTCTTCCCGGTATGTCAACATTGATGCTTGACTGCCTCATCTATAAGCTATGTACCAAACTTTCCACTTTCCTCTAGGAAAAAAAGGAGGGTGTCAATGTCGTTGGGATGGCATGTTTATAATGATCATGATAGTAACTGTTTTTGTAGCTTGATGATTGCATCATGTAAGATGTGACATGCTGTACATGCCAGTTAAGCAAGAGCAACGATGAGGGTTTTTTAGACACATCTCACCATTATGGGAAGCCTACATGAATCGAATTATCGGTAGACCAAAAAATCAAACAGTCCAATTACACGAGGAAAGAACATATCCGGTTTGGTCTTTTTGGACAAAAGAAAGGAAACCTTCTAGAACATATAAGTGATTATTTTCTTTCCTAACAATTTGGTGGATTATTCTCCCCCAAAGGCAAAACAATTATCCAGAAAGGCCCAAGCGTCAAGTTTCAAACTTGATGACTTTGACTTCAAACTAATTGGCAACTTACTTCGAATTCCAAAGTTGATAAAAAAGTTAACAAAAATATAGTTGGGCGGTTGACTAACACTCATTCTCATACGCATCAAAAGAATGCATAATTCTCCGAAAACAAAAACACTAATAGGAATAAAAATTATTTTTGGATTGATTAAGAAAATATAAGCTTAACGAACCTTCAAGCTGCCACAACAGGAACATGGTGTCTCCATATTAGAATCTGCATCCTCATCTTGGCATATCCTGCACTCCACCAACTTCCTTGGAGTCGATATATCCTCAAAATCCACTTTGTGCAAAGCTTTATCAATTTTTGGGTCATCAACTGTTGATGCTGTTGCTTGCATCGACAGGTTTCTGCTCTCAATTGCAGCTTCTAAGGTGGATTCAGTAATCAAACGATTCACCAGCAACACAAAATGATCCCCCATCCTTCAATTCTCAAAAACGACCAACAATTGATGAAATCTAATTAATGTTCAGGAACTCCAAGCCCAAAACCAAGCTGTTGTTCTCCAATACAGCCCCCTTGAAAATAAATAATCACTGTAGTAGGAATAAAACAAGGAAAAATTGAAGGTAAGTACTTTTAGCAAAAACAACCAAAAACTGTTAAAGAAAAAAGAGGATACAAACAAGGAGGGGGGAGACAGAGAGAGGGAAACGAGAGACAAACTTTTAAACTGCCAAACAAATAGGATCACAAAAAGAGACCAACAATCACAAGGAATGACAAAGACCCAGTTGCGGAAAACACAAGTATAAGCATAAAAACACCAAAAAAAAAAAAAAAAGAGAGAAAATCCGGAAGGAAAAAGGGAAAGACAAAAGAAGAGCAAAAGAAAGGAACCTCTGAGATGCAACAAAAAGGAGAGAACTTTACCAATTAAACGACCAAAAGGAATAAGCATCAGCAGAAGAAAAGGTGATGTAAGGAAAAAGATGACAGAAAAAGAAAGGAAGATTTTAGGAAAGGAGAAACTTACGTACAAGAAGGGGATCGTAATTTCTTGAAGCTAAGAATAGGTATTACAACGAAGCAAGAGATTGAGTGAAGGGAGTAGATAATTTTACAATCCAAAAATTAGAACATAATCCATTCCATCTCACTGTACATCAAAAAAAAGTTCCTTTCTTTCAGCCTACAAGAAAGACTCACCTCCCACTTTTCTCGCAGATGGTAGTGCTTGCTTGCTTGTTTGTTTTTAGTATAATAAATCATCCTGTCTATCTCTGCTATTTATATATTCTGACACAGGTCCGTTAGGTCAGTGAATTCCCAATGTATGCAGATGTAACTACTTATTAGTTGAAAAAGATTCCCTTTTTTTTTTTTTAATAACCGCTGAAGGAATCCGGACCTCTATTTTTTATGAGTATCTCTAAGCTTTAAATTTCCAAATATAACGAATTATTTTATGGATTATTGAAATATGAATATTTATATGTAAATTTACTTCATTTATCGTGAACTTTCTTCTTCTATAGAATAACTTAATTTTATGAAAATAAAAAACCACCTACCATAGTGCTAATTAGGGAGCGATGAATTTGAGAGAAATGAAAAAAAGAAAAACAAAATTTTTATATTTTTAATATCTACTCATCTTTAAATTTCATTTTCATCTTTTGTATACATATGAGTGTACGTTATAATCCAACGTATGATTAGCCTCTACGTGTACTTTATTTTTTTCACACGTAAAAGAGGATTTTTTGTGTGGGGAAAGAGACAAATTAAAAGGAGAAAAAGAGAAGTAAAAGAGAGATTATAGCGGCAAATCTCAGGGACTTTATTGATAATTCCATCTCTACCTTTTACTTTAAACAGTTTTCACTGTTAACATTACAACACTACCCCTCCAGATATTTAAATTCTCGTCCCATGCAACCTTTTTTTTTTTTTTTTTTTGGTGTTATTTACTTATTTTGCTTGCTTAATTATTTATTTTCTCAAACTTAGTATTTTTTGTCATTGGAAGTTTTTAATTTTAGATGGAGAAAGTGAATTTACCCATTAATCATAAAAAAATGAGGTAAAATAAAAAATCATAGATATATATTCAAATTCTAAGAGTAGCAATTAGATGTTCCCTTTATATATACAAAATGTATTGAAAGGTAGTATCCAGTTTTTTCTCTTAAAATGCATGTGAGTGTGTTTGCTAGCTAAAGTTTTGGATCAATTTCAAGTAATGTTATTTAATTATGAAAATTTGGATGCCATGCAATCTTAATTAATTCCTGTGGTATATTGTCAGTATCCTATGAAGTACGACTCATATAGGCAATGTGTGCCTCATGTCCAAATTATGGAATTCAATGTGAAATGAAACAAAATAACACCTCCTTTGAATTTCTTTCAACCCAATTAATATTTATTGATTACAAGTTATTCAAGTTTGGCTTAACATTTTTAGACATAGTTACCCATATTAGACCATTGACTGCCGCTGTTCATTGACCCTCCAGAAGCTTTTCGTATTCACCTATAGCTATATATTGTGCTTTCGGTTGACCTTTTAACCGGTCATGGAGCTTGGGAACCCGTAATTCATGACCATAAATCCATCCGTGGGGTTGACAAATGGCAATAAAACCTAGCTCATATGACCCTCCTTTATAACAACTGGTTTTAGTTATTTATCGGGGGAAAAAAAAAAAACCTGGTCTAGTTTGCAACCATTCCATAAAAGCAAAGAATAATCTAGTATTCAAGCAAGAGGCGGTCAAGTCATGACCACCATTTTTCATTTTTCTGATTGTTAATTCGTTACCCATATTTCTTAAGACTATTATGTGGCATGATGTGTATATATATATTTCGTCCATTTCCATGTTTGATTAGCATCCAAGTAATTGGATGTTATTGGTAGCCATTATGTAAGACTTCTAAATGCATACCTGTATATACGCATATATATAGTTGCCTCACCATTTTTTTTAATAGCCTAAATCCATAAAGAATACAAATGCATACATCGGTTGACACTATGATCACTCATTATTGATCGGGAAACTTAAAATCAGTGATAAGAAACCATAATCAAAGTAGATAAGTTGTGGTTGAACAACCTTTTTAAATCTTTGTTAGGTTCTCAAGTAAGACGAGCGAGCATACAAATTATATATATATATATATATATAACTTAAGTTGATTGTCCTGTACGATTAAAACGCTTGATTTCGTTAAAGATTGATATCAAGGAGTTTATAGATTAATAATGGAACTAATAAGATTCACTTGTTTGACTGATCGATTATAGGCAAGACCCCCTAATCAGGTTGAGTGGGTGAGCTGATCATCATCTACTATTTGCCAAAGCTGGAGAAGTAGATAGTTTGGCATAAATAATATTTCAGTATTTGTTCAATATCTTACTGCAAATAGTGGGGCTTCAAAAATCCACTTCAGTAGTCATTTACTTTTTCTGTTAAGCTTAAGCTAGTAATGGTAACATTTATAAGGTTAAACCCAGAACTCCACCGCCCGTTTCGCAGAAAAGAGAATTGCTGAGACATTCTTTAAGAGATCACTCCAAGTTCGATGATAATCCATCATACTACGGTGACAGGTGTTATTTTACATATCTTTCCTTCAACTGAGGTCTTCATCAATCAGCACAAACACAACAAGATAAGGAAGACTCATATACCAACTCAATCGATTCACACCCCCAACGGCAGCAGCAAGCTAAGGAGAAGGACAGACTCATAGCAACAAACAACAAATTGGATAGAGTTTTAAGTCCTTACTAGTTGTTACTCTTTAATACAATGTATTTATCCTTTTATTATTATTTTATAATACCCGACGTAACAAACATACGTATTAATACAAATAGAGAGTTACATAAAAGATCGTGTAGCCTAAGGAAGTGTTTGATAACTTATTTAAGTAACTTAAAAAATTAAATTGTGGTACTTAATATAAAAAGTTTGTTTGATAATCTAAATAATCTCATATTTAAAATTCAAATTGAGTCAAAATCTATTTAATTAGATAAGTTAAATTTTTAATTTATTACTTTTTGATTAACACTCTTATTAAAACCTTTTAAATATGACTATATAGCCCTCATATATTCTTATTAGTTATACAAACTAATTGAAAAACAATATCTAGAATTCCCATTGCCAAAAAAAGAGAACACCTTCTCCATGTATTATCAATGCTTTCCTTCCATCATCATCAACAAGTTATTAGGAATTTGAGACGTCGAGGTCTAATCCCATTGTAGGTGATTTTTCTTTCATTCCATTGTGGGTGATTTTCCTTCATGTTTGTTGATATCTTGACCCTTTTTTTGTGCATTTTTTGTGGAGAAAGACCGATTCTTTTTGTAGATTAAGATGTTTTATAGATTAAACTTTTTTAGTTTTTAGGTTTTAATTAAAGTTCAATCTTTTCTCGCTCATGCTGCTGTTGATGATGTTGTTTGTTTTTATATTGATTTTTAGTTGAGAGAGATTATGACTATCTTAGTGGAGAGTCTGTTTTAGCTTTATTTCATGGCTACCGAGAAAGGCCTTTAGTGATTCCATCACCAAGAACACCAAATAATACTCAATTTTGTCACATCGTTGATTATTCTTGTATGTTTCAAATGAAGAAACAAGACCAAGCCTATTCTCGTTGAAGCTAAATGGTTCTATGATAATTACATTCCAACAATGGATGAGTATATACGTATCTCATTGATTTCCTCTAGCTATCCCTTACTTACATGCACATGTTTTGTTGGGATGAGAGATATGGTAATAAAAGATGCCTTTAATTGGCTATGCAATGATCTTTGTTTTGTTTTGAAGAATAGAATAAATAGAGAGAATCTCAAGTGCAATGTTGTTTAAAATTAACACTTAATTTTCCATAATAATGATGGGAACTTTAATTAATTTTGGTTGAATCCAATGACATTTTATAGTTTGAACAAGAAAGAGGTCATGTTGCCTCGGGAGTAGAGTGTTATATGAAGCCGCATGAAGTTTCGGAGCAACAAGCATATGATGAGTTGTGCGAGCAAGTTGGGAATGCATGGAAAGACATTAATAAAGAGTTTCTTAGGCCAGTAAATCATGATCATTTGCCTATACCACTCTCACTCGTGTCCTCAATCTTGCACATGTGATGGATGTATTGTACAAGGATAGAGATGGGTACACAAATGCCAATGGACAAGTGAAAATTACATTACATCGGTGCTCATTGAGCCGGTGTTGCTAGTTTGTTAGACAAAAAACAATATAAAGTGTGGGCTTAACTATATTATAAGAATGAAGGGAATAAATGTAACTATTATGTGTGTATGCATAAATATATAAAGAATGTTAACTAGTAAGCAATTAGGGGAGGTTGCTACATTGGAGGTTGATGAGAAATGAAAGTACTTTTTACGTGTTTAAATTAATGTGAATGTGATTACTACAT